CACGCTGACGCTGGGCATGTCTGCGGCTTTCTGAGCACGGCAAGCCCTGCCCATACCTCCTCACCCCCTCAGCTGCCTTCCTCCCTCCCGTCCCTACCCCACCCCAGGGTCTCGGTATCCCAGACACAAACTGCAGCCGAAGGCGTTCCTGCAACGGACAGCACAGCAGACGTGGGACCCTTCACTTGTTGCTATCAACTTTCCCGCTTGCTGGCCTACGTCTGCCTCAGCCCACTCCCTGAAGGGGTGGCTGCACTCCCTCGCTTGGCATTATGACGGGCAGTCCTTGAACTGCCACATCCAATCCCACGACCCCGCACCCAGCGCTTCCACACTGGATCACGTCCAGTCTGACGTCACGGCTCAGTACGTTCCTCTCCCAGCCCCGTTTCTTGCCCCAAACACCTTAACTGTGCAGCGTTTAGCAAACGTGACACCCTTTTGGGCACTGACGCAAAGCTTCTACCTGCCAGACGCTGCTCCCGTGCGTGTGGGGCGTTCTCCGTAAGCGGTCCGCCACTACCACAGACTTATAGAAGGGAGGCTCGGAGCTCCCCACCCCCACAGTTCATTATATCATATTTAACAGCTCCTTCCATACGAAGCTAAATATCATTTCACCCACCCATCCCCTCACCCTCGCCAAAAACAAAACCCCTGTGACTACCAGCAGTGCCTTATTCAGCTGGCTGGCATTTCTGTGCCACCTTCCCACTGATAAGCAACAGCACGGCCTGTCCTGTCCCCGCCAGCCTCACGCAGTCCTGCGTCTTGCCCAGGTGACGGAGGGCTCCATCGCCGACCCCCAGGCTGGCTTCCCCACCTCCCCTTGGGGGGCTAGCTTCCCCGGCGCGGCTCAGCACAGCCCAGGGGTGAACGTGGGCTGCCACTGGCTCCACACACCTGCCCCAAGGCAGGACGGAGAGCGAGCCAGACCCCCGAACCGCCACTTCCCACGGGCCAGTCCCCCGTCTGGACCTGGGGTCGCTGCTATTGGGCCCATCCAAGCAGTGCAAGACAGCTCGTGGGCACCTCGGCCCGCTTTCTGCCTTGCTGCAAAGGCTTTCTGACTGCCATGTGGGCTGGTCCTTGCTGCTGGCTTTCGGTAAACAGTCCTCACGATATTAAAGTCTTTTTTCCCCCTTTCTTACCAGAGATTTGTGCATGGCACAGCTGGCTGCTGTTGAATTGTACCAAAGGACGCTCCAGCAATCTCCTGTGAGACTGGGCGTTTTTGTCAATGTGAATCACACAGACCTGTGACTGACGACCAATGACGTGAATGAATTCTCAGAAGGCTTTCCTGGTTCTTACACGCTGCACGTCATGTATTAGCATGTATTCAACAAGAATCACCTGAAGTTTTTATAATATTTTCTTTCAAAAGGTTTACTGATTCATTTACTTGCAGGGCAGACTGACGGAGGCAGAGGGCGGGGAAAGCGTGTCCCTCGGCTGCTGCACGCCTCCCACGGCTCCCACAGCCAGGGCTGGCCAGGGCGCTGGAAGCTCCACCCTGGTCGCACCTGAGCAGGGACCCCAGGACTCGGGCGTCATTCTGGCCTTCCGACACCTAAGCAAGGAGCTCGCCTGGAAGCGGAACAGCTGGGACTCATCCAGGGCTCCGAGAAGGGACACGGCGTCCGGGGGCGTCCTGCCTGGCTGACCCCTGTCACGTCGTCCTTTGCTGCATTCCTCACAGCCGCGACACACACAAGGAAGGGACACGGCGTCCGGGGGCGTTTCCAGCTTCTCTACAGCCGAGAGCTGCCTAAACACACCCGGTCACAGTACTTCTGAGCTGGGCCCACGCTGCTTGCCACGGGAGGGCTGCACGGAGGCAGCAGGGCCCCCGCCACGCGCCCCGTGGGCAAGGGCAGCAGCCCGATGAGGACTCCGACCCACGTCCTGGGACAGCAACAAAACATAAACTCCCACAGGCCCGGCCCCGCGCGCTCCTCGGGCTCCCGGCAGGACAGCCAGCACAGTGCCGAGTGGGTCCTTGGTTCTGCTTCACCGTTACAGCACAGGCTGGAAGGCACATACCTACCGCCACACGTGCGCACTGCCACGCCCAGCTCGGGCCTGAGGAATGCAGGCATCAGGAGAAGCTTCAGCAAGCACCAAGCGGGCTTCACACAGGCATGGCCACGGGTGGGCCCTGGCTCCAGCTCACACCACCATCCCTAACAAGTCCCTTGGGCTGCAGCTGCGGTTCTGTCCATGGGAACACCCTTGCTGGGCATGGTCAGCAAGGACACCCACAGCAAGAGCCACAAAAGGTCCCGGTGTGGTAGCCTAGTGGCTAAAATCCTTGCCTTGCTTGCACAAGAATCCCATATGGGTGCCAGTTTGTAACCCAGCTGCTCCACTTTCCATCCAGCTCCCTGCCTGTGGCCTGGGAGAGCAGTCAAAGACGGCTCAAGGCTTTGGGACCCTGCAGCCCTGTGGGAGGCCCAAAAGAAGCTCCTGGCTCTGGATCAGCTCAGCTTCGGCCGTCGCGGCCACCTGGGGAGTGAACCAGAGGAATGGAAGATCCTTCTTTCTGTCTCTCCTTCTCTGTAAATCTGCCTTTCCAATAAAAATAAATAAATCTAAAAGAGCCGCAAGAAAAACTGACGCCAATACACGATACAGAGAGATTACTAATCCAGCTCCAGACCACCCGGCTGCCTGCGTCCTGAGAGCTGTGACATCTGGTGACCCTGGCACACACTCCTCACCCAGGGCAGGACCATGGTGGGGACATGGACATGTGCCGCCACGGGCCCCCTCGGGAAGACCCATGCACAGGGGACGGCGAGTGCCAGGCTGCGGCCGACCAGCGCAGAAGGCGGCGGGCAGGAACGAGCTGGCACGCCCACTGTTTACATGGCCTTCAACGCATGCCACGCACGCCACTTCAGAACCCGGGATGCCTGGGCCTGGCAATGAGGCACATGTGAAACTGTAACACCAAACTTAACTGGGCAAGTCACCAGATCATCTCCCCAAAGCTCCTACTCTGAGTCAGCCGATAAGTATCCCAAATTCCTATGTAAAAACACTGTACATAGAAAGCCACCAGCAACGACACAAACAATTCATACAACATAAAAACACGCCCCCAAGCGCCCGGAACAGTAGCCTAGTGGTTAAGTCCTCCCCCACACACGCCAGGATCCCATATGGGTGCCAGTACAGGTCCCTAGCTGCTCAACTCCCCATCCAGCTCCCCACCTGTGACCTGGGAAAGCAGTGGAAGACGGCCCAAGGCTTTGGGACCCTGCACCCGCGTGGGAGACCCGGAAGAAGTTCCTGGATCCTGGCTTCGGATCGGCATAGTATCGGCCATTGCACTCACTTGGGGAGTGAATCATCGGATGGAAGATCTTCCTCTCTGTCTCTCCTCTCTGTATATCTGACTTTCCAATAAAAATAGTAAATCTTTAAAAAACATTCCTCAGTTAAGTAAGAGCCATCTATTGTATTTAACAGTACGAATCACGCCGTCATCCCAGGGTCGATGCAGTATTCTTCGTTATTAAGCGAACAGGCCTTGACAGCCTCAAGCTCCACACAAGGTCTTCAGTTTAAGACACTTTGCCTTCTTTCAATCAATAACTTTCAAATGAAAATAAATAAGTCTTTAAACAAACCAAAACGGAACCCTTAACGAGGGCCAGTGCTGCGGCACAGCAGGTAAAGCCTCCACCTCTGACATGGCATCTCATATGGGTGCCAGTTCAACCCTGATCGCTCCACTTCCGATCTAGCTTCCTTCTAACGTGCCTGGTGAGCAGCGGAGAATGGCCCAAGTGCTTGGGGACCGAACTGGCAGATAGAAGATCCTTCTCTTTTCTTGTTCTCTCTCTTTCTCGCAAACAAACAAATAAAATTAAATAAACAGAAACCCTTAACCTCTTGAGTCTTTTTCAAACACACACAGGGAGTTGCACTCACTGCTCTAAGTCAACAAGACCCAGAGCCGGGAAAGGTCACCGCTTTCCTCCTCCCCATCCAGGGAATGCACAGTCCAACAGGTACTTTTCCACACCGACCACACCCAGCCCCGAGCGCTAACGGAGGCCGACGTCCACCGAGCCCGAGCACACTCTGCAGGACACACGGGGGTCCCTTCCCAACCACTGCCCCACTTCAAGGCGACTGAAGACGCTCAGTTCTAAGACAGCATCCCACACAGACTTTAAACATAACCGGGGCTCAGAAGTCAAAACCTGGGGCCTTGTGGGGGTCAGAGAACAGAACCACCACCTGAGGGGGCTGAGGGGGAACCTCTGTTGTTTTTATATAAAACCACCTCCAGTGATCAAAGCAAACCTGACAGTGTGGAGGTGGGCTTCACACCACGGGCCACCCCCCGGCTGGGACCCCAGGACACCAGCTGCTGTGGAGCAGGTCACTCAAGGCCATCCTCAAGCTGACCAGAAACGAACTCTGTGACCTTGCAGGGAGAGACACTTGTGGGCTATGGGCTATTGTACGACTGCAACATGGGGAAAGCTCGAGAAACTCAGCAGGCACTGAGACAGCACAAGGATACAGAGCAAGACAACCCAGGGGGCCACGGGAGCAGGTCGCCACCAGCGGGTCACCAGGGGACCACCAGGCCCCCCGCCCCCCAGCGAGCAGGCCACCATCAGGGGGTCCCGCTGTAAGCAGGGTGCCATGAGGTAGCCACCACTAGGGGGCCGCCAGGAGGGAGCCTGGGGCTGTACATCCCAAACTTGGGTAGGGACAGGTGTCTGCATTCTTTAAAATTCTGGAAATACTTTCTATCGCTTAGGCTGCCCTGAAAACATTTTATTTTCTGGTGTTGCTTTAATGGAGGACTAATCCAGTCTGCGTCTCGGCTCTGGGAAGGAGCCAATAGCTCCAGTCAGGTGGGGGAAGCCGAGCACGCCCTGTGACTAACCCTCCAAGAGGGTCCCGCCGCGCCTCTCCAGAGCGGCTGGGCCCTTGGGCTGGCACAGCAGAATCGCGACACAATCCAGGCCTACCTGTGCAGGAAGTGCAGCTTGTGCATGGCCGCCAGCCCCGCAGCGATCTCGCACGCCATCCTCTGCAGCAGCAGGATCTGCGCACCCCCCCGCAGGTGCTCGTTGCGCAGGTAGGCCTTCAGGTCGCCCTAAAAAACACGTGGGTGTCAGGAGCGGGCCAGCATCACACACGGGGGCGGGGGGGGGGCAGCCCAGGAGCTGTCACGGCAGCCAGTAAGCCAGCCCCTCACCGAGCGGGGGAGCTCCAGGGCCTCGCTACCCACAGACATGGCATGACTGTCACACACACCTAACAGAACAAACAGGGGCAAAGGCGTGCGTTTAAACTGACCCACGCATCTTAAGTGCAGCGCAGGGAGCAGTGACACCCCAGGTCACCCGGAGATGCTGCTGAAGGGAGAGAAACGGTGCGGTGCCCCAGCTGCCAGCGGGACCTCCACGCTGTACCAAAGGCCCAGTGACCATCGCAGGAGAGACAGCAGGGAGACAGGGCTGGTAGCAGCTGCACTGTGCCTCTCCAATCCTGCTTGCCCCGACCCCGTGGGATCACGCCACCTACTGGCAGCTCCCCCACCTGACAGGCGTGTTCCAATTTGAACAGTCGGGCCAGAAAAGCAAGCAAGCATCTTTCCACCTCACCTCCAAGCTGGGCTTCCCAGCACTCTTTTTCCTTAAACATTTGTTTATTTTCTTCAAAGTCAGAGTTAGAGAGTGAGCGGGAAGAGACAGTGAGGTCGTCCAACTGCTGGTTCACTCCCAAACGGCCTGAGAGCCAGGAGCCTCTTCTGGGTCTCCCAGTGGCTGAAAGAACCCTGGCGCTTGGACCGCCTGCCACTGCCTCCCCAGGTGCACCGGCAGGCAGCTGGACTGGAAGTGGAGCAGCAGGGGGCTCAACAGCCCCTGTTCACTCCAAAGGGCGAGCCCACCCCTGTGGCCCTGTGCCAGGGGAGGGGCGGGGAAAGGGGAGTGCTGTGCCACGGGAGGCCTGGTCTTAGCACGGGCAGGAGCGGCAGCCACGCTGGGCCAGGCTGGGGCAGATACACAGAGGACGGGCCAGTGAACACAAAGCCTTTCTCTCCCCCTGCTCCTTTCTGTTTTACAAGTAACACAGAAGTAAACAAAAATAGACAGGTAAAGCTGGTACAACCTACACAAAGATGGATTTAACCTAAGAAGAGGTGCTGAGGGGCCCGGCGCTTCCTGCAGGCAAGACTGGCACAGGGCTGTCGGGGAACCAGGGCTGATCCTGCAATGGGACACCCTGGGAGCTCTCCCGGGACCAGAACAGAGAAACAACCCAGGAGCCGGCGCTGTGGCCCAGCAAGTCACACCACTGCCTGCAACCCCAGCGCCCCCGCTACTCTGCTCCCACCCAGCTTCCTGCTAATGAGCTTGCAAAGGCAGCGAACAAACCGAGTGCCTGGGTCCCTGCCAGCCACATGGACCTGGCTGCTGTGGCAATCTGCTGTGTAACCAGTATGTAGATCTCTCCTTCTGGTGCTCTGCCTTTCAAAAAACATATATTTTAAAGAATTTTACACAAGGGCCCGGCGCTGTGGTCTAGCAGCTAAAGTCCTAGCCTTGAACACACTAGGATCCCACATGGGCACTGGTTCTAACCCCGGCGGCTCCACTTCCCATCCAGCTCCCTGCTTGTGGCCTGGGAAAGCAGTCAAGGACAGCCCAAAGCCTTGGGACCCTGCACCCATGTGGGAGACCAAGAAGAGGTTCCTGGCTCCTGGCTTCGGTTCAGCTCAGCTCCAGCCGTTGTGGCCGTTTGGGGAGTGAACCAGCAGATGGAAGATCATTCTCTCTGTCTCTGCTCCTCTCTGTATATATCTGACTTTCCAATAAAAATAAAATCTTTAAAAGAGAATTCAACAAATATTTATTCCTAAAGAATTATTTTTGTTGGAAAGTCAGATATACAGAGAGGAGCAGAGACAGAGAGGAAGATCTTCCATCAGACCGGCGCGGTGTCCTAGTGGCTAAAATCCTCGCCTTGCACACGCTGGGATCCCATATGGGTTGCCAGTTCTAATCCCGGCAGCCCCACTTCCCAGTCAGCTCTTCATCCATTGGTTCACTCCCCAAGCTGCGACAATGGCCAGTGCTGAGCTGATTCAAAGCCAGGAGCTTCTTCCAGGTCTCCCAGGCGGGTGCAGGGTCCCAAGGCCTTGGGCCGTCCTCGATTGCTTTCCCAGGCCACAGGCAGGGAGCTGCATGGGAAGTAGGGCTGCCAGGATTAGAACCAATGCCCCTATGAGATTCTGGCATGTGCAAGGCGAGGACTTTAATCACTAGGCTATCATGCCAGGCCCAACACAAATATTTTAACTAATGATTTTTATAGGAAGCAAGTAATAAAACTGACTTAGTCTATTCAAAAGAGACAACTAACTCCTCCCCTGGCAATCTGGCTTTCTTATATTTCAATGGGTGTCACGAGCAGACACATCATCACTTGGGCCCATCCGGGAAAGAGGGGGCAGCACCAGGAAGAACAGCACAATCTCCATCCAGGTTTCCTTACCTCAGCTTTTCCCAAACCCTGCAGGACGAGGTGCAGGGAAAACCCTGGACACTAGAGGGCAGCAAAGGCTGTGCAGAGAACCCCACAAACCAGCACCTAGCAAGGGGTTCTTGGGAACAGGGGAAGAACTCGCAAACCCGTACCTAATAGACTCTAATAGAAGAGACTGTGGTGCCCAGAGGGCAATGCATTAAGTTCAACACAATGAGAAATCGCAACAGGACTGCAGCCATTTTTATGTCTTATAGGATGACTTGTGGGGGGCAAGGGGTAGGATTGTGCATTCCTATTCCAAATTCATGATTTGCCAACAAAAATCTTAGTGAGAGGGAGAGGATGAGGCCCAGACGGTCAGGGCCGCCACACTGTGGGCTGGGGGCGCCCTTGCAGCAGGAGCCCAGCCTCCTGCCCTGCTGGGCCCACGCCCCTTGCAGACACACCCCAGGGCATCCCCTTTCTCCCTTGGGCACACTTCTTCCCAGTGGTCCTCCTGGCAGGCTCCTGGCAGGCTGGCCAGGGGAGGCCCGGGGGCAGATTTGGTCCCTGGCTCTCCCTGCCCTTGGCACTTCACAGACGCCCTTGGCACTTCACAGACCCACGTGGCCCAAGCCCAGCCCCTCACTCCCAATTTGGCTGCCCCAACCCCAAACCCTGCCAACCCACCAGACTCGGGGAACAGCATGGCTGCTCTCCCGGAGGACCACACCAACAGCAAAGTTCTCTTTCACAGCCTGCCGCAGCCGATCTGCTCCCGGGCGCTGCCCCAGGGCCCCTGGCTTCCAGAGGAGTAGCCTGGCAGTTTGATTTATGCTGATTCTAATCCCAGCTGCTCCACCTCCCTTCCAGCTCTCTGCTTGTGGCCTGGGAAAGCAGTCAAGGACAGTCCAATACCTTGGGTCCCTGCACACACATGGGAGACCCAGAAGAAGCTCCTGGCTCCTGGCTTCGGCTCAGCTCAGCTCCGGCCATTGTGGCCACTTGGGGAGTAACCCAGTGGATACTAGATCTTTCTCTCTGTCTCCCCTTCTCCCCATAAATTTGCATTTCCAATAAAAATAAATAAATCCTTGAAAGAAAACTTCAAGCTTATATTTGAAAGGTAGAGAGCGAGAGAGAAAGACGGAAAGGTTTTTTCCACCTGTGGATTCATTCTCCAAATGACTGTGACAGCAGAGGCAGGGCCAGGCCAAAGCCAAGGTTTCCAACCAGGTCTCACGCACAGGTAACAGGGAGCCAAGTTCTCGAGGCCCTCCCCACCGCTGGCTCCTGGGGTGCAGCTGGATCCCAAGCGGAAGGCAGACATGAGCCCCAGAGCTCAGACACAGAGACACAGGGTCCCACACTAGCCCACAAACACCCCAGCAATTGCCCCCAAACTGCACATCCTAACTTCAGCCCAAGTTAGGGTGCTCCTGGTTCCGGCCTAGCATGCTGGGAGACAGCAGGGCTGTCTCCCCTTTGTGTCCCTAAATCCCAGCTCGAGCCGCGCATACAGCAGGTCCAGCAAAGGCCTTCTCAACACGTGTGAGACGAAAACACAGGTGGGGAATTTTAAACAACCTCGTCCAATCAAAGTGGGTAACAACCATTTTCCCAAGGGAGTCCCACCCATGCCTTGCAATTAACCACCTAACAGTAATGGACTTGGGGGTTAATCTGTAATTTCAAATGCCTACTGGGCTTTAAATGAATTTTACTGCTTCATTACGGTGATTATTAAAAGTAACCAAGGCCAGTTAACGTGGGAAAGCAGTGCTTTTTCTTTAAGCAATGAAAACCAAGCAACACTGTCAGTTTCGCCCAGTGGCAACGCAATCAGATCTGCTTCAGGACCTTCAGGACGGGAATCTGACTTCTTCTAGAATTCATTCACAAGGCAAGTGTTCCACCACCCCCAGTCAAGCCACCACATTCCAGGGGCTCCACTGCCCTTCCGGCTCCCCCCTGTGGCCCGGGAAGGCAGCGGTGGACAGCCCAAAGCCTTGGGACCCTGCGCACATGGGAGACCCAGAGGAGACTCCTGATGCTTAGCTCCCACTGTAGCGACCATTTGGAGAGTGAATCAGTGCATGGAAGATCTCTCTCTCTCTCTCCCTCCTTGTCTCTGTCAATCTGATCTGCTTTCCTATATCTATATATATATTTATTGATATATATATTTATTTTGAATTTTTGAATTATGTGATACAATTTCATATAGACTGGGATTTCCCCCAAAACTCCCACCCCCGACAGATTTCCCCATTTTGCCCGACACTGCTGGCACGGCCAGTGTGAGACCGTCCAGCATCCCACTGCCTACACTTGTCCAACAGCTTCACTGGGAATCCATCTGTCGCCCGGGAGCAGGCATGCATGTTGCATTGCACCCCCACATCTGGATGCGGTAGACCCCAGCACTCCTCTCTATACATTCCCGTAACTGAGAAGCCATGGAACAAGGTCAACCACTGGTATGAGTCAGAACAGCTTCCACAACAACAACAACAAATTACTGCACCATGAAAAAACACACCACTGAGTAACCAACACGTGGGTGACAAAAAGGAAACACAAAAGTCTTGGGAGAAATGACGCCATCGTGTGATCCAGGAG